AGAAGAAAGGACCGTGTTATAACAAACAGGGCGGGTTAGAAGAACACAAAAGAGCATTAAACCGGACCAGAAAGGTTACTGGTCTGCTGAACCAGACCTGAATCGAGGACTAGATGCTTAAACCGACCAGAAACAGTGGCTAGATGCTTGAATAAGATGTGAAACACCTGCTGGATGGTTGAACTGGATCAAGGAAGGCTGCTGGATGCCTAAACTGAACCAGAAAAAGGGTATGTACTGTTGAACCGGTGTGGAACCAGCCAAGAAGGGTTGAATAGAAGTGAACTGGTCATGAATTGAATTAGGTTGAGATGAACCAGTCGGGCTGGCTAAATCGAAACTAATTGGCTGGACTAGACCAATAAATGGATTGAGCCTGGATTGGACTAAGTTGTCTCAACTGGGTTGGACTGCATTGGGCGCAACTAGGCTGGGCCATAATGCTAATTAGACTGGTCTTGAGTTGAGTTAGGCCTCTTGTAGGACTATATTGGGCTTAAGAACAACCCAAACCCGTCTGATCTGAATTGACCCAAGCTTTTTTCTTTTCCACTGCCAAGGTTTCAACTAAATCGTAGGTTCAATAGTGCTGCCTCACACTAGAAAACGCAATACCACTACCACAACAACTCACCTCCACGCCACCATTGTGAATCTCTAACAACTAGCACAACCACCACCACGAAGTAACCACCACCACAACGATCGCCAATGACGTAACACGACTACCACAATGACCTCTGAAGACGTAACACCACCACCACAACAACCTCAGCGATGCAACACCACCGCCACTACAATTCACGATTGATCTCCACAACACACCCACATTGTTGTAGACATTAAACCATAAACCATAACCCATAATCCTAAGCCCATGGTCATGGGAATTACAACCAAGCTACCAATTTCGAACAAAAACAAGAAGAGAAAAAGAAAAGAAAGAAGAAGATGAAGTTCTTAGATTAAATCCTCAATAAAAAAAAATCAAATTTAGGATTCGGTATGATCTGATATCATGTTAAGTTTAGAGAGTTAACATAATATTAGAGAAAGACGGAGAGTGGTCAAAAAATTTAACCTAATCCTCACAAACCACTTATATTTATAGTTAACTCGTACCATAAAAAAGATGTGTATACCCTCTAGTGGTATACTTATTACAATTCGTATTTACATGATACTCTTAGCAACAATCAATGAGTGAAACTCTTTGCTAAAATGACCTACAAGAAAGGATCTTATCCTCCAGCTCATTGCTCAGCACCTTTTTCTTGGTAGATTGCCTCTCATTGCAATGCACAATATGTTAATGGCACATGCCAAGGCTACCAAGCTTTACTATGAGAAGTTTCAAGCCTTTAACTGGCCTTAAAGTTAGGCCTGTCAAAATTCAACGCGACACGATTAACCAACATGAATTAACACGAATTTAGCAGGTTTGAGTGAGATCTTAATGAGTTTTGGTGGTAAACGGGTTGACCCACCAGACACGTTTAATAAACGGGTCGTGTTCGGGTGAGACCTGTCAAATCGTTTATCACACATTTACCCGTTTAAATAAAATTAATATAATAATAAATTAATAATTATTTTACAAAATTAGCCAAAAAAGTAAAAAAAATCAATACAAAAAAAAAGAAGTAAAACAGTAGTTTAAAGACAAAAGATGGGAGATGGAGAGCAGTTTAAAGACAAAGGCAAACCAATGTCTTTTGTTTTTGTTTCACATCAACAAATGAGGGGAGATGGGAGGGCAGACTTGCTTATAAAAAGCAGTGGCTTCTTGCATTTTTTTTTCAGCTTTCAAGTTTGATTTTTATGTGAGATTTGACTAAAAATCCCTCTTTTTTGAAATAAGTACAACTGACAATAAAAAAAAATTGAGTATTAGAATTTGTTGATATAATATTTTTAAAATTAAACGGGTTAAACGAGTTGTATAGTGTTAACTATTTATTAAACGGGTCGTGTTCATGTTGAGATTTTTCACCCGTTTATTAAACGTATCATGTACATGTTTATATGTTTTTTATCGGTCACCCGTTTAACCCGACACATTTGACACGCCTACTTAAAGTCTATACTTGATTTTCGTTAAACAAATTAGTTTTGACCCTTTCTTTTAAAAAATATGTTGATGCAACCAAACAAGGTGGATACGTAGGCATTGTTGCATAATTGTTTCTGTATAAACCGAAGAGCTAAATCGAGAAGCATCAAGTAGGACCCTAGTTTTAATGTGTTCTGGTAAGTGGTTTTATTCCAAGAAAGAATAATACCATCAACAATTTTGTTTTGATATTAAGTGCCATCTATTGAGTTTTTTGAAGAATTAATATTTCAGTTAATGCAAAAAGGACGTTTAACCAAAAAACAAAAAACTAACCCCTTCATACCTTCAAGACTTATATAATAGATATTCAAGCTTCGAACTCTGGGTAGTCTTAGGGTTTAAAGATACATTTAATCATTCAAGTACTACGAAAATGATACAATTCATTGCAGTTTCCTAAAAGCATATAAAAACACTTTTTATAGATATTCTGTATGAATTGCAAATCCAAAAATATGTTGCCAACATAATTTTTTATCAACAGTTTATTTATTAAATCTAAAAAATTTCTAGCCCCAAATAGCTAGAACACAGCTTTGTTGAGTTATTATCCCATTAAGCTAATTGACGTGTACATTGACTTCTTTCCTTGTTTAGTTCAGTCAGGGAAAAATAGAACAAAAATCCATCACTGTCTTTTGCAGAACTTTTAGGCTTACAAAATGTTGTAATCTAACATGGTTAATCTCTTGTTAAACAGGACTATCGATCACCTAGTACACGGGGATTATCCTCCAGAAATGCATTGCGAACACGGGGGTTCTCCAAATACGAAACCGAGTGGATAAAAGTCAGTATTGACTTCATCGG